AAATAGAGCCCCAAAAAAACTTATTATTTTCGTAAATGCTACAAAATGAAACGCCAATTTGTCAATTTTGTCAATTTTATTTTATTAAAATGACACTTATCAACACCAACTGAGAAACCAAAATTTTTCTTGTATCAACAAGAGCCCATTTTTGATTTTTTATTATTTTGCCCACTTTAAACCTGTTTTTTATGATTTTTTTAAATATCATTTTTTTTTGGTAAAAAAAAACTAAACAAGTGTCACTTGAAAAAGAAGATTAAATAAATTTGACACATCACTTGATTTATGAATCTTACATTAATTTAATTTTGAATCTTTTCTGCTACTACAAATAATTCTGTCTTTTTAACTGTTTTTTTTTCATTGTTCTTTTTTATTTGCTATTTTTTTTCTTTTTATTTTCTTTTTCTTTTTTAAAGTTTTTTTTTACTTTAGTATTTTAATAATAATAGTTTACTATGGTTTATACCAATTACAAAAAAAGTATGTAGGTAGACGCATAAAAATATCTTATCTTTTGTTTTGCATTCTCTTTTTCTTCAAACTGTACTTTTTATAATGACATTTTGCTTTCTATTTCTTTTGTTTATTTTTTTCTGGTACTAATAATTCTTCTTTTTTTTTGTTCTTAGTTTCGTTGCTTTTTTGACACATCTTTATTTCTAATTTTTCTATGCCTATTTTTGTATTCACTTCTGCACTTATTTTTTTCCTTTTTTACATTTAATATTTTTTATTCAATTTTCTACATATTCTGTTTTTTCTCTTTACGTTTGCTTATTCTTTTCATTTGTTTCGTTTGTTTCATTTTCTACCACCTTGAACCCAGTCAATTATTCCCGGAAAAAACAAAACTAATCAAGCTTGCTTTGCATGATTATCTTTGGTACAATGTGGGCCTTATCAAAGTCACTTTGACCTTTTGCCCATCTCCTGGTAACCATTTTGCGTCAACTGTCTGAAAAAATTGCGTCATTTCGTGGGTGTTTTTGAAATTCCTAGTAATGGAACTAGTTTCGGCCCCAAATCCCCATTTCATCCCCGGGTACTCCCCCCAAAATTTCCCCCCCAAAACTCACCCTTTGACCTCAGATATACCGGATTTTGTCCCCAGTACAAGTACCGAATTGGTGACACTTACGGTACCACCACCCATAAGGTCCTCCTCGACCCCACAGTCCACCATGCGGAGAAATTGGTACTTTCCGACCGTCTCGCCGATGACTACCAAGTGGTTCGACCACCACAGAAAGACATAGATATAGTCAATGCTCGTGCTGTGACCAATGACACCATTTACAAACATCCCATCATTCCTGGATACGAAGGTACCACTTTTTGGGTTCTGGGTTTGTTTAATTATTTTAGTCCTTTTTTTACTATGTTTTTACCATTTTATTTATCTTTAAACTATTTACTTCTTTTAATTTTTTTTACTACTTTGGTTATTTTTCGTATTCTGCTTCTTATTAAAGCCGTTTCGGAAACATCAATTTGTTTAAATTTTTCTATTTTTCTCGTTTTTTATTCTTCTTTTGTATTTTACTTTATTTTTTTTTTGTAATTCTTTTTAGGTAAAAACAACTAAAATT